CAATAGATTGTGTAATTGAGATTATCTGTGTGCAATTTGGTGGGAAGAATATGAAACGAGATTTTTTAAAAAAGATAGCTTGTTATTTATTACATGAGTCTGGAAGCTCAAACACGGTTCCTCTGAGATTAAATCACCGATACACCCATCTTTGTGTTGACGTTTTCCTGTATGGCTGGACATGCAATTATTTACTAAGAGCCAGGATTCTTGCAGGCAAGTACCAGAACCCAAGTGATTTTCAACGGAGAGTTTTCTATTTAGAAGTACGTATCAGTGGAAATGCCTTCAGCTGTAAGTAATAAAATATCCTACTAACAGTTGCTTAAACTAAAAACATTTAACTATTCCACTTAATAAGAATTCTAAGGGTTAGTGATTCAATAGTTAGGTTAGCGGTCCAAAAGTGGCAGGCTCAGTTGCCATCTTTATAATTGTCTTGGCCTTTTCTTTAAGGTCACAAGGTAGCTGAAATAGACTTAATTATCATGTTCTCACATAGTAACATTTGAAAGATAAGGCAGGGGGTGACCAGGAAAGTGGAGCTCTCTCCTTTTGAANGTCTGACCACCAGGTGCACTGTCTCTGGGGCCTCCTGGGAGGTGCAAAGTCAGCCTGTGCCAGTGCCTTGCCCAGGGCCACCCAGCATGAGCTACACAGCAAACCGTAGTTGGCTGCTACTTGTGCTGGGCTTAGAAGTGTCCAGGAGAGACCAAGCTATGAGCCAATGCAGGCTGACGCTAGTGCCAGGACTGGGGCCACTTATCAAGCTGTATGGGGGACGCTGCTGCTTGTTTGAGAGATTTTAGGAAAGTCCTAAGCATGAGGCTTGAGAGGCCACTTGCATAGAAAAGCCCCTGGAAATAGCCTGGATGAGCTGCAGGTGGGGAGGGGAGGGGCCAAAGGTGTGAGTCAGGTGCTGGTGATTCACATATGGCACCTGCCTGCTGGCTGTGTTGGGGAGGACTTGCCAAAGGAGCCATAGCCTCCGCCAGCCCTTCTGCCTGGGAGGAAGCCACCTTCCACCTCTCGCCCCGACTTAAGGCAGGTTAGTTCCTCCCCGAGTGTCCCAGGTCCTTTCAGGCTGCTGCCCGGCGCTGGGCTCAGAGGGAGCATCTGAGTGAGTCCGTGTGCGGGCCCTTTAGGAGGAGCTACTGGGGCTCCTGCAGCCTCCGCGACCCTCAGGGACAGACCCCGCTGGTTTCACAGCCCAGAGTTGTGGGCCGTCTCTTCCCGGCCTGGAGCCCTGGGCTGGGGGCCTGCTGTGGGGCTGGGACCCCTCCCTCCTCCGGGAAACCTCTGCCAAGATTCTCTCCTGGGTTTGAACCGCGGCACTGGGTGTGGGCCCACAGCACGTCTTTGTGATTCAGCCCCGATCCGGCAGGATCTGTGCCCCTCCTACTGGCCTTGGTGCTTCTTCAGGTCCGTGGTTGTGGGGCTTCTGTTCAGCCAGATTTCAGGAGGCTCAGAGTGATGGTGGTTTTGTATTTTAGTTGTAATTTTGATGTGGTTGAGGGAGGCGGTGGGTGCAGCTGTTGTTACCTACGCCGCCATCTTGTTGTTCCTCTTCATTCTTTTTTCTTTCTTTTTGCTGTTCTGATTTGTATTTTTTGCTTCCTCATATTCCAAATTGCTGATTTGCATGCTTCATCTACTCTACTGTTGATTCCCTGTAATTTATTCATTTCAGTTAGTCTTCTTTCAGCTAGTGGTTCTTTTTAATAGTTTCTGTGTCCTTTTTATGCTGTTGAAGTTCTCATTAAGTACCTTGAGTATCCTTATAACCACGGTTTTGAGTTCTATACCTGGTAGTTTGTTTGCTTCCATTTCATTTAGTTCTTTTTCTGGAGATTTGTATTTTTCTTTCATTGAGACCTGTTTCTTTCTCCCCTCATTTTGGCTACGTCCCTGTTTTGTTCAATGTATTAAGCTGCTATGTCTCCTGGAATTGGTAGAGTGGCCTTGTGTAGTAGGTGTCCTGTAGGGCCCAGTGGTTTAGCCTTCCTGGTCACCTGCGCCAGGCACAACAGGTACTTCCCTGTGTGGGCTGTGTGCACTGTCTTCTTGTAGTTAAGCCTTGATTGCTGTTGGCATCACTTGGAGGGACTGACCATCAGGGAGATCTCCTGGGAGGACCGGCTGTCACTAGAGGAGCAGCTCCTGTTCTGGGGCCCATCCTATGGAGGACTTGCCTCAGTGGGGCTTTGGTACTCACTGAGTCTACCACTCAAGTGTGTCTCTTGAGGTGATATGGTTGTAATCCAGCATGGTCTGAAACTGCCCACTGGGTGCACTGGTTCTGGGGCCTACCTGCAGGTTCAGGGTCAGCCACTGCCTGTGACCTGCCCAAGTCCACCAAGCACCAGCTACAAAATGATCTGCAAATGGCTGGAACTCGTGCTGGGCTTGGAGGTGTCCAGGAGAAGACAAATTGCAATCACAGGCCAGCTGCCACTAGTGCCAAGCTTGGGGCCACTTAGCAAGAGGTACGAGGTACACAGACACCAGATGCTGCTTGAGATTTTAGAAAAGTTCGAAGCATGAGGCAAGAGAGGCCAATTGTATGGAAAAGCCCCTAGAAATGGCTTGGATGGGCCTAGAAGTTGGCAGTGGGGTGGGGGTGGGGGGTGCCTCAGGAATCACCAGGGCAGGGATAACAGTGTGAGCTAGGTTGATGGAGACTCAGATATGGTGCCCACCTGCCACATCCATGGAGAAGGACTCAGCAAAGGAACAATGGCCTCCTACAACACTTCTGGGAGAAAGCTGTCCCCCCAGCTTTCACCTTGAAACCAGACAATTCAGTTCCTCCCCCTTTGTCCAAGGCTCTTTTTGAGCTGCTGCCCCAGTGCTAGAGCTAAGAGAGAGCGAGTGCAAGTCCGTCCGCGTGGGGTCCCTTTACAAGGAACTCCAGCAGCCCTCCGTCTCACTCAACCACAATCCCTGATGGTTTTCAGACAGAAGTCATGGGGGCTTCTCTTCCTGGCACTGGAACCCTGGGCTGGAGGTTCCTATGTGGATCTGTGACCTCTCACTCCTTAGGTGGGAACTTTGCAGCCGATTATTTTTACCCACCCCATGTGCGGAGGACCAGCTCATTCAGCATTTCCACTCTTCCTACCAGTCTCGAAGTGGCTTTTTCTGTATATCCTTAGTTTCACCTAGATTTCAGGCATTTCCGAGTGATGGTTATTCTGTAGCTTAGTTGTAATTCTGATGTGGGAGGATGTACGTTTATCTACACTGCCACCTTAACCAGAAGCCTAAACTAATTTCTATCAGAGTAGGATTCCTGTAATTAAAATCAATTACTCATTCTTTCAATTAGCATCTGGACTAATCAGTGTTTTCTAGTTAAATCTGCACTTAAAATAATTTAAAAGTATCCCCAAGGTAGAATATAGCCATAAGCTATAGTGATCTCTACCTTAATTGCCTGTTATAAGCAGTTGGTATAGTAATGTTAAATTGTACCCACACTTCCTCTAGGACAGTATTTCTCAATCTTTTTTTCATTATAGCATCTCCAAAGGAGACAATTGCAGACACATCTCATTTTATTGCACTTCACTTTACTGCACTTTAATCGTCTGCGCTACCTGCCCCCAAAGTTTGTGGCAACCTTGTGTGTGCAAGTCTATCAATGCCACTTTCCCTATATTTGCTCACTTTCTGCCTGCCACATTTTGGTAATTCTTGCAATATTTCAGACCTTTTCATTATTTACATTTGTTATGGTGATGTGATTATCAGTGATCTTTGAGAAATTGTTTGTGAAAGGAAGTCAACCAATGCTGCCACCTTCATTGTCTTAGGAAATTGCCATAGCCACCCCAGCCTTCAGCAACCAGCATTTACCAGTCAGCAGCCATCAACACAAGGCAAAAACTTGCCACCAGCAGATTATGACTTAAAGACTCAGATGATGGTTAACATTTCTTAGCAATAACATATTTTCATTTATTTAAATATGTCTTTATTGATTTCAGAGAGAGGGAGGGAGAGGGAAAGGGAGAGATAGAAACATCAATGATCAGAGTCACTAATCAGCTACCTCCTGCACACCCCCTGCTGGGGAGCAAGCTCGAAACCCAGACATGTGCCCTGACTGGGAATCGAAATCAGGAAAGCACTGAATTCACTAAAATGACTCAGAGAAATTAGGAAAGCACATATATTTACAGTTCTATTATAAAGGATTCAAATTAGGAGGACCAGCCAAATGAAGACACACACTGGGCAAGGTGGGGAGGAAACAGCTTCCATACCTTCTTTTGGTGAAATCAAGGCACATCACCCTCTCAGCACATCAGTATGTTCACCCCTCAGAAAGCTCTACTGGGCTTTGGTGTCCAGAGTTCTTTAAAAAAATTATTTTTAAAAAATTGATTTTAGAGAGAGAGGAAAGGAGAGGGGGATAGATAGAAACATCAGTGATGAGTCATTGATTGGCTGCCTCCAGCACGCCCCCTGCTGGGAGTTGAGCCTGCAACCTGGGCATGTGCCCTGACCAGGAATGGACCTCAATCTCCTGGATCATAGGTCAATGCTCAACCACTGAGCCACGATGGCCAGGCAGTGTGCCCAGAGTTCTTAACTGGGGCGTCACTCTTTAGGCACAGCCGATTAAATCATTACCCATGTGACTGAATGACTGTACTCAATCTTCAGCACCTCTCAGGTCAGGCCTGCCCCAAATCCCAACCCTCTAAAATAGACCTCTAAGGTCTTTCTGGTGTTTAGACCCATCATCCTAAGACTGTATAGGAGCCCACCACAAGCCACCTCAATAGAACCACAAATATACTCCCATCGCCCAGGAAACCCATAGGCTTTAAAGGCTTAGTCAGGAACCCAGGACAGAGACCAGATGCCTTATTATATATACCACAGTAGGAAGGGCTGAACTTAGAAAGATCACAAACCACTAATAATAGCTGAGATTCTCCACTACCCAAGAACCAGTTTTCACCCCCACTAATGAATCCTCTAAGACAATGAAGAGACAGCCTCCCAAAACCAGACTGGGATTTTATTATGTAAAGTTTATAGAAGTGTGACTAGTATTCCTCTGTACAAAGCACACAACAAATGGTTTTAAATAAAACAGAGAAATGCAAGTGCTATGACAACATCTGATACAAGCTGAACCATTTACAGATATACTAAAAAAATTTAAAATATCATCTTTCTCCAGAGTCCACCACGCATTTCTTGGAGCCGAGGTGGGCGCTCTAGCAGGTCACAAAGGCATCTTGTTGCCCTCGATGCTGATTTTCACTGCATGTGCAGATCGACTTTTCTTCCTGATATCTGTGAACTTTCTCATCTGTTTATCCAGTCGACTGATACCCTTCTTGGAGGTCCCCTGAAACTAAAAGTGGGGTAAAAATTAAAAAGCAATTTATTGAAATGTTTAAATCTAGTTTTGTCTTTCCCCTTTATTTATCTGGACAAGAGCAGCCAGAAGAGCTCCTAGCTCTGGGAAACCAGAATATGCTTTGGTGACCTCAGGAACCAAAGAGCAAGGGGACGCAGCAGCATTAGAAACAACTCTCAGTGAAGAATAATAATGTTGTGCCTGTGCCTTATTGGCAAATTTTGTCTCAGTCCGTGGAAATCTCCCAGATGAGAGGAAGGAGGAAAAATTGAAACTATGATACTCCAATTCCATCCAAATACATTCTGACTGTATGCTTTTCCTTTTCAAAGACTGAACGTGGAGTTGACCACATGACATATGCACCTTCAAACAGTGCTGGTGTAAAGAATGATGATCTTCTAAGAAAAGGAAAGTCACCTGAGAAAAAGCTGTAAGTATGATGACGGGGTCAGAGGGTTAGCAAAGCAAACCCACAAAGTGGTGGAGCCCTGGTTTCACACTCGGGGGAATCCCTGCTCTGCCTTAGCAGGTTCTGACCCTGGGAAGATCATGCCCCTGGTTGGTACTCCTTTCAGGACTGCTGGGAGAAATGAGAAAATACTGTCAAATATAAGGACAGAGGCTGGCACATAGTGCTCAAAATGAGTATCACTATGACTATTATTACTACTACTTTGCAGTCACTTAGATTTAGGTGTAGTAAGTGTATTTGACACAAAAAGAAAAGAAAATTAAGTCAACCCAAGGGGCTTCCTACTTCTTATTTCTCTTCTTGCTTGCCCTTTATGTCTAAAGATTTGGTTATTAGGTTTTCTTTTATATTGAAATGATTGTATGTTTTAAAAAGATGTGGTCTCCAAAAAACTGACCTTTTAGCAGTGTTGAAAAGGCCTCCAATTTATGTCCAAGATCAGAGTGAACTCTTTTTTTTTTTTTAAAACATTTACTTTTTTTAATATATCTTTATTGATTTCAGAGAATGGAAAGGAGAGGGAGAGAGAGATAGAAACATCAATAATGACAGAGTCACTGATTGAACCCGCAACCCGGGCATGTGCCCTGACCGGGAATCGAACCCCGATCGCCTGGATCCCAGGTCGATGCTCAACCGCTGAGCCACGCCCGGCCAGACCAGGGTGAACTCTTCTTGCTAACTAGTGTTGCTAACAATCCCAACCTTGACAAATGCTGAATGGTTAAGAGAGGGGTGCCTGGCCAGTGTGGCTAAGTGGTTGAGCGTCAACCTATGATCCAGGAGATCACGGTTCAATTCCCGGTCAGGGCACATGCCTGGGTTTCAGGCTTGACCCCCAGTAAGGGGCATGAAGGCAGCTGATCAATGACTCTCATCATTGGTGTTTCTCTCTCTCTCTCTCCCTTCCTCTCTCTGAAATCAATATTTAAAAAAAAAAAAAAAAGAGGGGTTTTCTAATTCTTCTCCCCCAGGCTTACTAATAAATCACCTGTCAAGCTCAATGCAAAGAATGCTAAATGAAGGCAGGGCCTGGGAGATGACCCAGGGTCACTGCTAGTGTGGGGGAAGGGAAGCTCATCTGAATCTCGAGCCTCCCCAGTCGCTATCCCACCTCTGGACTCCAACTCCACACTCAGATACAAAGCAAGAAACTCTACAAGAATTTGAACATTCTTGAATAAGAGTCATGCTGATCAACCCTAGATTTTCTAGGGCTATCCCAATTCTAAATATTATTTTATATCAATGTTAATACTTAGCACTAATACTGAGTTAGCATAAAAATTCATTATCACATGAGAAAGCTATGCTGCCATCAGCCTACTGAATACCCGCTTGGTGGAAGAGAAGTGGAGGGATGACAAGAGGAGACTTCTGAACATCAGCCATTTGACCTTCAGGGCTTCCTGAAGAGTCCCAAAATCCGACTTCCTTTCCGACAATGTAACCTGATTTACAGTACTGCAATCAGTCCACACCAAAAACCCTACCTGCTCGTATCTCTGCCAACTACCCAACTTCCAGCAGCTCTGCATACCAGCCTGGATTTCTCCTTGCTTACTCCCAGGTCCTCCTCTACAGTCTGAGCCCTCCCACCCCACCCACTGAAACACACACACCCAGGTCCTGCTGCTCTACTCCTCGTCGCTTGTAGCTGCCAGATGCCTAGTTACCCCAAGCCTGAAAACATACGAAACACTGTACTAACATGCTAAATTCAATGACCTCTTCTCTGACTTCATCAACTCTATACACTTCCTTAGGACAGTAAAAGTGCAATGCAGTGTTATTGGTGAACAGCTTTATTACTGTTTATCAGTGAAAAACCAAAAGTGGCCTAAAAGATTAGCAAGATGGGTTTGCTTAAAAAAAAAATTATGGTACAACTGTAGTCCGACACAATGTATGTCACTAAAGAATTTACTAAAAGAATTTTTACCATGCTAAGTAAAAGACAAACCCAACAAGGAATAAAATATGATCAAGATTTTGCTTAAGAGTTCAAAAACACTACATCAGTAATAATGTTTATGTATGCATATACAAAAGACCAAAAAGAAGGTAACTGGAAATGTTAATGTTAAGGTGTGGTGGGTTTATGAGTGACAATTTTATTTGTGCTTTCTGTATTTAAAAGTTCATATAAAAGCATGCATTGCTCTTGTCACTTTAATGTTATTGAAAAGCACTCCGTGGAATAAACAAACATATAAACATACAGTGTAGTGTAGGTTACTGCATTATTTAGGAAAAAGCAAAAACGAGAGAGAAATGAATAAACAAGTTATAGACACACGATACACTATCATGCAGCCATTACAAACAATAAATCTCTAAGGCGATTTAATGAGAAGTGGTCAAAATTATATATAGCATAACTTAAGTAGCAATAGAAAAAAAGCAAAAAATATAACAAAGTGCTTTTGAATAGTGGGTGATTTTTCTCTTCACCACCCCAAATTTTTCTACAATTATAACAAGAAAAAACTAAGCTTGAAGCATTACGGGAGATATATTTAACACATCAAATTGTTATCAGTGGTGACTTAAGAGGACGGGCAGGACTTTGGAAACAAGATTATTCTACAGTGTTTAATGTTTACTTATATAATTTCAAAAATAAAAATGACATACAGGAGTGGGTAAAAGTAGGTTTACAGTTGTGAGTACACAAAACAGTTTATTCTTGTATTACTATTTATTAATTATTGTATTATTTTCCATATGAACAACAGTAAGTCTACTTTTGCCTACCCCTGTATAAAATAAAAATTTTACTGCAATGTAAAACAGAACCACCAGCCCCCAAACATGTATTTTTTTTCAAAAGAGCTCCATAAGCCAGACTCAGGCCTAGATAAATACTGCGCGTTATGAGTTTGCGATTGCTAAGGATGAAGGAAAGGAACTCTACTAGAAGTTCCCTCTCTGCCTGCTGGTCACTTCTCTGCTCCAGCAGGAGGTTGGGTCACCACTTCCCTCCGCCCTATGGCCCACAGTGAAGGTGGGACCAGAACCATCAACAGGAGCAGATAGGCACATGCCCTCAGGACAAAAGGAAGGCTTCCAAAGTAGAGGGGTCACACCGATTACTTAAGACATTTCCTTTGCCACACTGTAATTATCAATTCTCACGTGCGCTGGGGAAGAGAAAATATGAAAGAGAGGGATAAAAAGAGGGAAGAGACAGTGAAAAAAGTAAAGGTAAAAAGAAACAAGGGTATTTGGGGGCAGTGAAGGGATATCGAGGGGCATGGATATGGGTAAAAGAAAAAATGGGAAAGTATCAATGAAAAAGCCTGTGGCATGGAGCTGGTGCTCTTCTACCCTTTATTTATTCTAACAAATAAGAAAGCATACTTCGTTCTGACAGTAGCTTCACAGCAACGTGAACTGGCAGGAAGGTGAGTGTAAACCATGGAAGTAGCTGCCAAAGTGGGGGTTCATGGGGAGCCACAAAAGGCACACAGCATACTCACACGCTCTCGTGAGTGAGGTGCTCTATTAATCCCAGAGCATGGCAGGTCAGGGAGACAGGCTTTATGAACATTCCAGTCTCTCATTTCCAACCACATGCCGAATATGAATTAATCAAATTTATCTCCTAAATATTAAGTGTGAGGCTTTAAGCAGTGAGTCCTCAAATGCATGTTGCTAAGCCACTGACAATAGCAAAAGAAGGCACCTCTTCCCCATCAAGAAGCTACTAACCAGTTTATATGCTTCTAATATAGAACACTATGGTTCTAGGCCCTTAACAAAAGTTCTTTTAATACAAATGGGCACCAAACAAGAACAAAATGTTTATCAGGGAGGTAATTATCTATTGGTCTCTAGGTACCAATAAAGGAGGAGACAACTTCCATATCAATTTCTAAATGTTCAGGAAGACCTAACTGTCACCAAGTGCCTGTCAGGGTCATTATTTCGGAATCTAAAAGTGGGCCTGCTTTGTCTGGTTAAGCAAGCATACCCGCACACGTGTGCACACACACGGCTTCACTTTAGCTACCAACAATTCAAGCCCATGCACAGAGCACACCTCCTTGGGGATACCTCCTGGATATACTCTGGTAGGGCCAGGCCTACAGGGGCATCCTGTTGCCTTCAATGCTGAACTTGACAGCACGATGCACTCTGCTGAGTCGTTTCTGTTCGGCAAATCGCCTCTTATGCTTTTCCAATCGGTTTAGGCCCTTTTTAAGAATACCAGGCTAGAAAGAGTGGTTGGAATGGAGAATAAAAAAAGATTACTGAAAAGCAATGAAGATCACTGAGCAGTATTTACAATGACTACAGAGGAAGTGTCTACCCTGAACATTTCACAATAGAATTACTTAAAACAGTTGAAGAGAAAGGAAGGAGGACACTGCAGAAGCAGGTAAATTCTGATTCTCATGGTTCTAAAAAAACGACTGCATCAGAACACTCTAGGCTCCAAGATTTGGTTCAAATAAAGGGATGAATAAGAAAAAAACAACTTCTTGACTTGATAATGTTGCTTTAAGTCTGAAGTAAAGCTCATCAGTAATGCAAGATCTAGCTGGATAAAAGAGCAGAGAAAAGCTCTCTTGAAATCAGACAAACCTGAAGAGCAGTTAAGGATTATGCATGAAATAAAAGACAAAATAGTAATTTGCATTTGCAGTCCACCTTGCTGATCCCCTGCTTGCTTACCCTGGATGACTCCATTTCCACATTCCACTTGGGCCTGACAACATAGTCCTTGTTTGAGGGCATTGGCACCCGCGCACGGGCACAGAATCCAGGATCTCCAGGTCTAAGAGCCCTGAGAATAAGAAAAACATGCTGCTTATGTAGCCAACCACAGCTGGGCCCATTCTGTTCAGATACACACCTGTTGCAAACCTCCTCTGCCCTCCCCCAAGGTTACCCAACCCACCCTCCCCCTCAGTCTCAGGTGGCCTCATCATCACTTGTATTACTGCATGGATTCCTCAACTTCCCTCCCAGGGCCAGCTTCCTCCTCTCCTTTAGTGAATCCCATACTCTCAGCTACTTAGGTTAAAATTTTGGTTAGTGCCTATAAATCTAGCAACTCCTCCCCCACGAAGTCACCTACTCCTGGCAATTTTGCCCCTGCAAAGTCTTTTCAACCTCCTGCTTCCCTACTGCCATCTCAGTTTAACTATTTCACTGCCTTCAGTTACTCCCCTCCACCCTATCCTACACCACACCAACATCAGCATTCCAAATCAAATCTGACGATTTCATGTCCTTGCTCAAAAACTTTCTATGGAATCACAGAGACGTGGAAGTTCTTCATCCTGATTTACAGCTGTTTAAAATCTGGTCCACTTCCACATCTCCAACTGTACCTTCCACCACCTGAGGCACACAGTATTGCCCAACCACCCGTCCACATGCCATTCCTGAATCAGGCCGTGCACACGCTTACCACATCCTTGCTTGGGTTCTCCCTTTGTCTATAATCCCTCTAAAGACTTTTTGAGAGCATGGACTTTTAAAATTCAATTTTGTATTTCCAAAGCTTAATGCTGAAGTCTAGTACATAGCAAGCAGCAATAAAATCTTTATTATTATTTTTTTAAGACTATTGCCACCACGTGACTTTGTTTTAAATTGATTCCAGAGAGAGGAAGGGAGAGAGGGAAAGGAAGAGGGGGGACGGGGGAGAGGGGAGAGAGAAACATCGACTGGATGCCTCCAGCACATGCCCTGGCGGGGGATTGAACATGCCACCCCCTGGTGCACAGGATGACACACCAACCAACTGAGCCACACAGGCCAGGTCTAAAATCTTTACCGAATGAACTATTTTTCAATCTTCATACCATCCAGAGCACCCAATACCATGCTTTATGGATATTCAATGAATGTTAAACTGAAAGGCATCCCTCATCAATGTGAACATACATCATTTCATTTGCTATTTTTCTTAACACAAAGCTGCAAACAGAACATTCTCTCTATATATTAGTCTAAGAAAAAAACTAATACAAAACCCTTACTTCTCCTCTCCTGTCAGCACCTTTTCCAGGTCTCTTCGGGGTGTCTGGCCACCAGTGCTGGGAAAACAGTAATCAATGAAATATTAGGAATGTTAGAATCTTAAACCTTTATAAGAAAAAAAGAACAAAGTGAAATATCAAACTTAGGCCACAATGAACTCCTTTACACTGGAAAAATAATTCCTAATCTTGCATACCAGGGTCCATTACGGGTGAATGGTAACTGCCCTGCATGCAACTGTATCCAGTTTATTGATGTAAACTGAACCAATATTTTCTTCTTCTAAGAATTTGGGACAGGATTGAGAAAGATAGAAAGTTTTTTCTGCAAGTAACCAGAACAAGAAAAGCAACCTCCAGAACTGTGGCAGAGGCCATACTCCATCAGATCAAACCAGAAGTCTGGGAGGGGGTGTGGGCTACAGATAAACGAGGAGGGCATCATGAACTACACAGACACATCAAGCTGAGAGGAAAGACACAGCCCTACCGCCGCAGCAGGCTTCCGAACGGCCTTGTGACAAACAGCTGTGCTGCCTGGCAGCCGCGCCTGCCCCTGCTCACCCTGCGCCCTCCTACCTGCTCATCCTCCGTCGCTGGGGCATCTGCTCCAGGTCTCTCTGCTCCCTTTCTTCTCTCGTCATTCCTTTGTAATTTGAGGTAAGGCCAAATATAGGCCGGGACCATTCATCTGTAATAAAACTGAATTATTTAGTCCACAGAGTAGTATTCCTCCTGCCATTTCTTGAAATATCTGCACTCCAGTGTTATGCCATATCCTAGGTATTTAGGATATTCTTTCCTTAGAGACCATTATTTCAGGACCATTTATAGGACAAACACAGCATAATACCAACATTGCAACTAGCTCCAGGTGACTCAGAAATTTCAATATAAAAAGATCATTAAACCTATGATCACCAGAAGCTTACTTTCTTACTCACTCTGACAGTCATCAAGTGGTATTGACATTTCATAGAGACAGCCTACTTTCTAATTTACTAAAAGGAGAAAATCTTGAAATTCTTCTACTTTCTTATTCTAAAAAAGTTCCCTTGTTACTTGTTAAATGGTCTAATTCTTTAAAAATTACATTTTAATAGTGCAGCTTTAAAGTCGGTACTTCATTAAATCTAATAAAGCTGCTAAAATGAACATGAAAAAATGTACCAAAGAAAGGCCCACTGTTTAGCCAGTGAAAGCCCAAAGGTACCTACACTGTGCTTTTACTTTGAAACACAATGTAGATTATTGTTGCATTTAATACACTATCAAAACAATAAAGGATCGTTACAGACAGAACACAGGTATTGTCAAACCAATAGGAAGCAGGAGTCTCAGGGGGAGATGGTCTAAGTGTCTTTGAAAACTGACCTGCCAGCCCCACCCTTGGATTCAGAATTACTGTGGTAATAAGTAATGAGTATAACTTTTTAGTGTAAAGGACTTAATTACTGGGACTATTCTGCTTTTCTCAGTCTAGGGCAAAAAGAGGGTCGAGAAAGATCGCACAAAAGCACCAAAAGTTTATTATTTAGTAGGTAGTAAATTACAGATTATTAACAAGATTAAAGATATAATACTTCTCTGGTTTATTTCAAAATTTAAATTTCCCTAAAAGCTTTTAATACTCTTAAAAATTCAATAGAGACCAGCCGGTATGGCTCAGTGCTTGAGCGTGAACCCATGAACCAGGAGGTCACTGGTTCGATTCCCAGGCAGGGCATGCCTGGGTTTTGGGCTTGATCCCCAGTAGGGGGCATGCAGGAGGCAGCCGGTCAATGACTCTCATCATTGATGTTTCTCTCTCTACCTTCCTCTCTCTGAAATCAATAAAAACATTTATTTAAAAAATTCAATAGAAAAATAATTACTATCTTCAGATACAGAAGTAGTTGCACCCTGGAGGTGTGTTTGGAGCGTTGGCCCATGCACTGAAGGGTCTCGGGTTCGTTCAAGTCCCCTCCCACCTGTTGGGCGCGTGCGGGAGGAAACCAGTGGATATGACTCTCTCACATTGATGTTCTCAAATTCCCC